TCTATTTGGGCCGATTTCTATAATGAATTTTTAATGCTGAGGTGATTTCTCCCAGCCACCAGAGTGTAGATTGTTCATACACCTTCTGTGTGGTGAGTATGTAGTACGTAGAGTAAATTAACACAGGCTTAATCCATACATAGTTAAGAAGGAAAACTGGTGCTATGAATCCACAGTGGAGGAGGAAGGGCGTTCCAGAGTAGGGGTCAGAAGACCTGGGTTCTAGTCTCCAGTCTGCTGCTGACTTAGCTACTGAACAATCAGTAGTGAAGAGACAGGTAACTTGCACATGTCTCTTCATTTCTCCTCTTCAGTTGCCACCTATCTAAAATAAAACAACTAGATGTTTATTTCAACTAGACGTTTATGATTTTTCTAAGAATGCAATGATCTGAGTTATATGTGTCACTGCTCCCTTTCACCATTCAGTTAAAACTTACAACATTGTCATATGCTGCCATCTCATCCCCCCCCGCCCCCCGATAAAAAGGTGTACGATTTTGGTCTAATTATGGTTCTCTGCAGTGTGCTAGGAACAGGTCCATAGCCACTCTATTCTCAATACTGTCTCAATAGCCTCCAACACCCTTCCAGAATTTCTGAGAAGGGAGTCTGAGCATGTGAAAACATGAGAGGCCACTTTGCTGTAAGGAAGGGAAAAAAAATGAAAGCAAAGACTGAAAAAAACTGAGTTTGAAACCTTTGGAAGCAGATGTGTATGGTTAGGAAACTCAAAATCCATGTCTTTAGAAACAAGCTAAGTTCAAGAGCAGAGGCAGAAGTTAGGTTTTGCAAAGGCTCCTACAAAGGTGAACTCAAACAGCTCAGAGTCTGAAGGAATGGCAATCTTCTTTCTCTGGACAAAGCATGAAAAAGTTAGAAAAAAAGTTCAGATTTCTGCAGTTAAAACCTACAGATGATTGAAAAAGATAAATTCTGCTTCAGCGATAAATAAGTAAAACATGTCTCAAAAGATTTATTTCTAAGGGAGAGAAAAATTGGCTTCTAAACATAAAGAATGGTATGAACTTAAGCCTGACTCTAAAAAGGAAAGGAATGGGGCCAGGTGCCCTGGCGCACACCTGTAATCCCAGCCGCTCAGGAACCTGAGGCAGGAGGATTGCAAGTTAAAAGCCAGCCTAAGCAATTTAGTGAGACCCTAAGCAACTTAGTGATATCCTGTCACAAAATAAAAAATAAAAAGGGATGTGGCTCAGAAGTTAAGTGCCCCTGGGTTCAATCTCTGTTACAAAATAAAAAAGAAAGAAAGTAAGTAATGGTCTCTATTCTCTGAGACTGTTGCTATGAACAGTTATGGAATGAGATCATGAAAGATATGGGATGAGAGCATATGGAACAAGCCTCCAGATTCTTGGCTGCCAAAATCACGAGCCCCAAATAAAAGCCTGTGTTTTTCTCAGATACCATGCAAAGTACATGACCTTGGAATTGTGACCTTCGAATCACCTGCATTACTCTTCCATGGTGAGATGGAGTTGGGGGAAGGAGAGTGGACAGTGTTGAGAAAGCAGCTCTGCCTCCCAGGAAATTTGATCAGAATCCCTGTAGATTTCTGGAGCAAAATTACCAAGGGTTGGATACAAATTACCTTATAAATGCTTACAGTTCAGGCCTGCCAGAGCCAAAAGGAGCAGGTAAAACCCAAAGCTCGTTTTCAGCTCATAGTTTAAAACTCTAACCACAAAAAACATTCACACACCAAAAAAAAAAAAAAAAAAAAAAAACCTGGTTTTTGACAGTTTGACAGAGACAGGCATTCCCTCCACATATATGGGACATCTATAACTCATCTGTAATCTATTGTAGTAAGTATAGTAAGAGTTCAGGAGAAGCAAAATTGCATATATGTATGAAATAGGCCATAATTTCTAAGGATTATGCTCAAATATAGGCTTATTTTCTGATAATAAAAAAATAGTGTTTATAAAACTTACTTGAACAAGGAAATGTCAAATAAGAGAGACCTAATTCAGTTTTTGGTTGTTTGTGTTTTTTTTTTAGGAAAAGTCATGCTAGACTCTTTCCTCTAGAACAGAATTATCAAATTAGCAGAGGAATAAAATGTACCAGCCATTTGGCCATGAAAGTTACATGATGTAGAAGCACATTTTGCAACATGAGTATTCAATGCAGCCCAAACTGGCCTTATCAAATCATTTCATCTTTCTTATCCTATGTTCTTTCCAAGCAAGCCCTAGCTTGTGAATGGCCCCCAGCATCTGGTAGGGTTTACTGCTTTGAAGGTCACCCACCTCTTGCCTGACCCACAGAGGCCAATGATGACTTCCTATTTGAGTATAGTAACAATGAAAAGAAAACAGGATATTTATTATATTCAACAAACACACAGAAATTTCTGTGTTTGTCACTGATACAACCATAGCTTTTTTACAAATACTATCCCATTTAATCCTCAAAAGACCTGTGGAGTATTCCGACCTGTGGACTTCTATTTTCACCTCCACTTCACAGATGAGGAAACCTCATATATATAGGAAAAGCTCGAGTCAGGACTTAGTGAGTTTGTGTGATTAACTGCTACACTACTGGATGAGTGCTTCTAAAGGTCCATGTGTTATATGCTTGGTCCCCAGGGTGGTGCTATTAGGAGGTGATGAAACCTTTGAGAGATAAGCCCTAAGAGGAGGTTCTTAGATCACTGGAGGCATACTCTTTAAAGGATTGTGGGACCTGGGTTTCTTCCTCTTCTTTCTTGTTTCCTGACTATGATATGAGTGGTTTTGCTCCTTCAGGTGCTCCCACCATGATGTGCAAGACCATGGTCTTGCAAGAGGCCCAAAGCAAAGGGCCACCTGATCTTGGACTGGAGCCTCTAGAACCATAAGCCAAAATAAACCTTTTGGTTTTTAAGTTAATTGCTTCATGTATTTTGCTATAGTAATGGAAAGTTAACTAATAAAACCATACTACCTGTAGTATGCTGATTTTAAGTCCTTTGGGTATAAACCGAGGAGTGGGATAGCTGGATCAAATGATCATTCCATTCCAAGTTTTCTGAGGAATCTCCATACTGCTTTCCAGAGTGGTTGCACCGATTTGCAATCCCAGCAATGTATGAGTGGACTTTTCCCCCTACATCTCCACCAACATTTATTGTTGCTTATATGCTTGGTAATTGCCATTCTCACTGGAGATGAAATCTCAGTGTAGTTTTAATTTGCATTTCTCTAATTGATAGAGACGTTGAACATTTTTTCATATTTTACATTTTTTCATTTGATCATTTGTATTTCTTCTTCTCTGACATGTCTGTTCAGAACTTAAAATTAGCACATTACAGTGACACAACCACATCAGTGTTTATAGTAGCTCAATTCACAATAGCCAATCTATGGAACCAACCTAGGTGCCCTTCAACAGATGAGTGGATAAGGAAAATGTGGTATATATACATGATGGGATATCACTCAGCCTTAAAGAAGAATGAAATTATGGCGTTTGCTAGTAAATGGATGGAGATAGAGAATATAATGCTAAGTGAAATAAGCCAATCTTTGATATAGAGATGCTACACAATAAGCATGGGGTAGTGGCTAGGGAAGAATAGAGGTACTTTGGATTCCACAGAGGGGAGTGAAGGGAGGGGAGGGGGTAAGGGGGTAGCAAAGTTAGTAGGATGAATCGACATTTTGACCCCATATGCATATGATTACAAGACCAGTATAATTCTACATCATGTACAATCAGATACAGAGTATCAATGCTCTGATGATGAAAGCAATAAATGTTAATATTTGGAAGATTCAGAAAAGTACATGGTGAAAATTAAAAGTCCACTCATAATCTCATCAAGAAATCATCTCTGCTGATATATATATATATATATATATATATACACACACACACACACACACACACACATACTCCATTTTTCTATATCTATATACATTCATCCATGTACTGACTAAACATTTATTAAATATGGCTCTTTGTGTCAAAGGGATGCTTATTCAAAAAAAAACCTTATACTTATTTTAACATCTGAATGTGTATTAAGTATTCTCTAAGGATTGTAAAAGTAACAAAATCGGTACATTAAGAGGGAAGTGAAAGGAGGGGAAGGCAGGGGATGTGGGGATAAGAAAGTAGAATGAAACAGAAATTATTACCTTAGTATATATGTGACTGTATGACCAATATGATTCTATAATATGTATACTCAGAAAAATGAGAAATTATATCCCATCTATGTATGATATATCAAAGTATGTAAGTGCATTCCACTATCATGTATAACTAATTAAAACAAATAAAAAATTTAGGGACTGGGGATGTGGCTCAAGTGGTAGAGCGCTCACCTAGCATGTGTGAGGAACTGGGTTCGATTCTCAGCACCACGTAAAAATAAAATAAAGATATTGTGACCACCTAAAAACTAAAAAAAAATAAAATAAATATCCAAAAAATTTTAAAAAGATCATAAAACCACTCAGAATAGAAATAAACTACCAATGATTCCTATGCTAAAGAATTTGTAAAAATTCAAATATTCAGTTAATTGGAGTCCCAATGATGATATTTTTCAATATGCTTTTATTATATTTTCTGCATTCCCCAGAAGCATTGCTACAATGAAAACAATATTTGCTTCTTCAACTCATGCTCAAATTAATTGATGTGGCACCTCCATTAATTCATAATTATTTCATTAATGAATTGATTCTAAATCTCCAAGACAGGAAGGCACAAGACCACCAAAAAGAAATATTGGTTTGTGATTGTTCTAATACTGCTCAGTGTTTTTAAAGTAAATTTTATCCACAAAGCATGTTATTATTACTAATAAGGTAATCCACAAAATGCCTTGCTGAGTCAAGTATCAGAAAAGTACAGAAGGAAAGTGAATAATCAATGTACTACATTGGAAAGTTGGGTGGCTAAATGACTCACACACTACAATCTGCAGCATCGCAAATGAAGTAGTTTCTCAACTGAGAATGGATTCCTATACCACAAGGTCACAGCCTTGAAGACAGCTTCCTCTTGACTGTACCAGTAATTTTACCATATGGATTATCTAATGGCAGCAAGACCTGTAGGGAAAAAAAAAAAAAAAACAGAAACACACACATGGTAACTTCAGAGACATCAAAATAGCCCTTTCCTTTCTATGAATTTTAAATCAACAACAAAAACAATTTGTTAAACAGTAAAATGCCCTACAGTAAAGTCACTTCAAGCATGGTATTGCTTTATTTTTTTCTGGCCTTAGTTGAGAGATGAGTCAGTTTCCCAGAAAATTAAAGAGGTTTTTTTTTTTTTTAAAAATTTGTAATCACTGGGATATAAATGCTTCTAAAATGCATTATATGTCCCTGCTTTTAAGTAGAGTATAGTTAATACAATTTGACCTTTTCTTGATGACTCACTTTGCATATCGATCATGATCCAATGCTACAATCCAGCCATGCCCTCGAGAGCATCTGAGGTCCACAGGACTGCCAGCACAGTGCTAAGGGCTCCAGGCAGCTCTGATTTCTGAGTTCCTTTATCTTCTCACCCTGTCATTTGTCACTTTTCTTTGCTGTTCGTGTGCCTCAACTTCCTGCTTCTTGTGTGTTGCCTCCACTCTGTACACACCAGAGTGACGGTCTGAGAGTGGCTCCAGTCATCCCCAAGGTACAGTGACAACTCCTTCAGCCATTCATATGCCTTTATACAAAGACTTGACCCAAGTAAATTGGATTTTTCGGCCTCCAGAAACCCAGCTGGGATTTAGAAGGGGGTTGTGAGTCTGACTTCTCAGAGGGAGGGCATCTGAGACCTCAGCCTACAAGTAAGCCCTTAGAAGGATCAGTGCAGGGCTGAGGCTCAGGAGCACCAAAGAAACCCTCCTCTCTTTGCCTGGGATCCTGAGCTAAACTCTAGTCATGATACCTGATGCTTTTTCTGACTGAGCCCATTTGCTTTGCCTCTGGTGGATATGACCAAGATTCCTCTCAGATCTCCCTCCGGCCCTTTAGCAGATAATCATTGGAATAACACTTTAAATCCTAATTAATGAAATTCTGGAAATCATCTTCCGTTCTTTCCTCTGAGGCAAATATTTTTGCCTTTCCTTTTAGTAGAACAAACAATGCAAGGAACTAAAGTTGCCCTCCCCTGCAATAGCAGGCTTGAGATCACCTCTACACACACCTAAGTGTGACCTTTGTTTTTCAATGTCATCCTCCAGCATCCACCTGCAGCTGGTTAGCAGGCCCAGAATGTGGGCCCTTCTGGAAACCCTTTTATTAATCTTTGTCTACCAAGAAATATGAGTCTACAGCAACAGAGCCATGCCAATAGATGGCCCCTTTCCTTTTTCACTCTCTACCATATACTAAAAGAAATGACCCAAAATGCTATCTTCAGACTAACACAATGGAGAAATTCTACCATTTTGAAAGTGGCCAATGGGGGAGAGACAGTTCTAATCTCCCAGGAACTGACCACACAGACCACCAGTCAGGACATCGGGTTGCCTAGTCAGACACACTGAGTGGTTTAACCTTCTGCCACAGCTGAAAACACGTCAGGGCCAGTGCATTTTTCCAAGACAAAACTTTCCTTTCAATAGATGAGTTTCCTCATCTTGCCTCCTGTAATTGCAACTAGAAACACAAATACGCTTTCATCTTTCCTGGGTGTATTGTGTGCTACTGAATTGACTACTTAATCAAAAGGTAGAGATGATGAAAGAAAATGAAAATAGAATCTTTTCTTCTCATCATTGCCTCGTGATGGAGGAATAATGAAGCGGCGACCTTGTGTGGCACTTTTCCGAGAAGCAGATCTCGGAGCTGTTTCCTTGGGCACACTCTGTTCCTTCTTTGTCTCTTCCTCTCTGCAACTTCCCGCCCTCCCCTGTAATCACTGGTCCACTTCTGGGGTACTTCAGCCTCAGGCATTGAAAGTCCCATAGTCTAAGAGGGCTCTAATCAGTGGCAACTATAAATATTCCCCAAAGCAGCAGCTGTTAGAGTTTTAGTCAGTGATATTATCATCTCAAATTTACAAAGAGGCATTAAGGTGGGGGGAGGGGATAGCAGAAATGTGCTTTAAATATTTTTAAACTTCTCTTACCTCTTCCTTGTTGATCAGGCCCATTTTGGTCATGTCTATGTTAAAGTAGTGAATATTTGGCAAGCTGATTTCCATGTCTTCTATCTGGAATCCACAATAGCATGCATCACATTGGGCAACTGTGAGTCTCACACTCTCTGTCACTCCACTCCCCTCAGCCCCCACTAGACCTCGAGACACCCTCTGGTGTTCCACTACTGCCCAACTCTGTTCTCTCTGGCTAGTCCTATTATTAGATGGTGGCCCACTTCTCTCCCCTCAGTATACAAAACCTGCTTCTCTGAAAAAATAAGTGCTCCTCAAGTTAGAAACTTAGGAGAACTGTTCAGCATCCAACTGGCCTCCAGGAAGAGACCAGTCAACATCCTAAACTCCTCCTCATTCCATTCCCTCCTCTCCAAGCCTGTCCCCACACGTATAAAGAATTAAAAGTTATAAATCAAGCTTAAAAATGTTAAGTGAAATATGTCTATCCTAACCTGACAAATATACTTTCATGTAAGGCCAGGTTTTAATGTCAATCCTCTCGTGCTTTGGTGTGTCATTTCAAAACATACTACATGGAAAGAGCCAACTCTGCTCTTGACCCACTCCACCCTTTTTCTTGGACTTGTGTGGGCAGATACTCCAGATCACATGCCAAGTCCCATCAATACCTCCTGCAAACATCTGCCCCATTGTCCACTCTCAGGTCCAACTGTGGACACACCAATAGCACCATGTGCCCTCTGGAGATTGGTCTCTAGAAAAGATTTTCTCAGGTTCTGGAAGGAATTTGGGCAGGAAGTTTGGGGGGCTGTGTGAGCCCCTGCAGAGTTTGTTGCCTTGGGTCCACCAACTCTTTATCCAATAGAAGGAGGCATAGCCAGAGGAAGGTCTGAAGGGGTTCTCTGAAGTGCTGACCTGTGGCACAAGACCCTCTTGTCCAGGTCTAAGGAGTGTACTTCTCCTTTCCAACTCCATCATGGCTGGGCCCAGGCTCTCCTTGCATATTTCTGCAACAGCATCCCAACAGGTCCCCTTGCCTGAGGCCCCATCATCCTTTTAGTTCATCATACTGCTGGCATAGTATTCTTTCTAGAGTGCAAATCAGGCCACACCGCACCTGCCTTAAACTCTTCAGTGGCTCCTAAGGGCTCTCAGGATAAGGTAAAGGCTATATAAATAAGTCTACAAAGGCCCTCTTGATTAGTTTCTGTCATATATGTAGAAGGAAGGACTCACATGGAAGGATTTTCAGTTCTAGTACTTCATATATTGTTAACTCTTAGTAGTAAATAATAATATTATGTTGTTACCGCCATACCTACTCTGCTTCCTCACCCTAGCATAGAAGCCCAAATTACCCCTACTTGTCCCTAAAGACTGAGCACACACACATCTCCCTCTGGAAAATCTGGCTATCCCTGTCTCCAATGCCTGAGTTAAATGCTTTCTCTGTATTTCCATCATTATCTACCTTTCTATTGTATTGTTTATTTACAAATTTTCTTTGTTCACTGAATTATCCACTTTTGGGGGGTAGGATATTGTCTAATTAATCTTTGTATCCTTTGTGTACTGCCAGAGGCATAATAACCAATAACATCAAATAAATAGATGGATGATAGAATGAATCCCTTTACAACTATCTTTCATTCTCTGGAACCACTAAAACATAGAAGCTCCATCTAATTATCTCATCAAGGCATTGAAGTGTCCTGAATGACTTAAATAAGTGGCAGGTTGAAAAGATTCAAAGCATTTTCAACAAAACTAAAGAACTATATCAGTGGCCTGTGTTTTTAGGCTGAGCAGATTTTTCCATTTTTGCTCTCTTCTCACTTGCTATAACAAGCTTTTGAACAACAACAGATGTCATTTTTCATGTGTCTTCCACTTTCCTATTTTAACTCTCAACTCTTTCTCAGAGCTGACAGGAGACACAAGTTCTCTAAATCCTCAGAATGGCAAGTGACAAAACATACCTCGGGAATCCGGCTCAGCGTGAGCACCTGGATATCATAGAGGGTCTTCTGGACGGAGGGTGAGTACTCGCCTTTGTCATAAGGCCCAGAAAATTTCTCCAGGATGATGTCTCGAACAATGTCCCTGAAACACAGGGAAGGAGACTCTCAGGGAACCACATTTTAAGAACACATTATTAAACTAAGGAGTGACATTTCTGTCCCCCGGAAAGCAATTGTATTGATGGTTTTATAAGAGATTATTCTCCCATAATGTCAAAAAACAAAACAAAACTCACTTCCCATTTCCCTACAGACATACAAACGCGTATACACACACCACTCAGCAAACACTGAATGTACCAGGCTGTCTTCATGGATTAGCACCAGGGCCTAATGGACTTTTTAAAGTAAATCTCTCACCATGTTTGAAGAACCAGTGAAGCGAACACCCAAACACTCTAACCCTCTCACAGCCCTGATAGGCTGGTTCCTTGACTGTTGCCTTTGGAGTTTTACTCCCTGCCAATCTTCAGCTTAAGCATTTTATGGACATTGTCATTGACTTCTTAATGTAGCTGAAGCAGGCACTACTATTCTCCCCAATTTAGAGATGATGAATCTGAGTGCAAAAGTTTGTGATCTACTCTGAGTGTTTGTCTCAAGTGAAAGACCCAGAACACTGCCCTGACTTTGGCATGTTTAATCTCATGCTCTTTTCAACATCAATATAGCAGGCTCCTGCTGCCTAGAGGAGCCTGAAATTAAAAAGGGAAAACAGAAGACTGAGAGGAAGTTCTCCTCAAGCATTTTAAAACCTATCACATAATAAAAAAAAAGAAAAACTATACCAGTGGGAGGAAACTACGTGGGGGAGGAGCAGATTCCGGCTCATCCTAGGGTAGAAATTTCTAACAATTAGAGCTTCAGTGAAGAAATAAGATATCTAGTTAAAAAGCAAGCCCAGGGAGTTCAGCAGCCTAATTATTCCTTGTCAAAGATATTATAATAATCATCATACCTTTACCTTTTTAAAGAATTTGCCATTTACAGAGCACTTCTCTGAATATCCTATTATTTTGCATTTAGCCTAGGTTGACCAATTGTCCCAGTTTGCCCAGGATCAAAGGGTTGCCTGGGACATGGGAATTTCAGTGTTGAAACCAGGAAAGTCCCTGGCAAACTGGGAAAGGTTGGTCACCCTGGTTCAGCCATGTCAGCATCACTGTGAGGCACTGAGGCTAGATATCATCTCCATGTGATGCAGTGTTTCTTAAAGTCCAGCAGCGTCAGCATCACCTGGGAGTTTATAACCAAGGCAAATTCTCAGTCTCCCCCGCAAGACCTGCAGAATCAGAAGCAGTGGGGGTAGGCCTAGTGATCTTTATTTTAACAAGCCTTCAGGTGATTCTGATGCACTCTAGAGAGCCTCTGATTTAAGCAAAATAAAGAAGGGATTTCGGAACAATGGGGAGATTGAGTTGAATAGCCTCTAAATTTTCCATTTATATCTAAGACTCTGAATTCTAGGCCCCTGGGAAAAGGGCAGATACCACCTGCCTGCACTTCACATCCTAACACTCAGTCATACCAAGTAGCTTCAAAGTCCACGTGTCTGCTCTGGTGATAGCGCCACTTGCAGTACACTTGGGTGGCAAAGCATCTGTCCTTCACCTCAGGAAGGGTGGTGAACTGGTCTTTCAGGAATCCTTCAAATCCAGACTGGGTTGTTTTCAAGATCTTGAGGTCTTTGATTCCAGAATGAATGATTGGAGATCCTATTTCAAATAGAGAGGTAAGAGAAGATGAAGTCATAAACAGAACATTGCCTTCTTAACTGACATCTAGCACCGTGGACCCGGGCCAGTAAAATGTGGCACACTGTGTTTGCACAAAGAACTACATCTTCTGCTCATGTTTTCCATCTTCCTGTCTCCTCAAATTGATAAGGTTGTTATGCTTTTCCTTATATCTGGATTCCATGAATCCCTGCTTCTCCTGCTTTAAGAAAACTGAAAGTCTGAGAATAAACCCTCATATGGTGTTGAAAGCCACAGAAATAAATTCTCAGCTATACACAAGGTGCTAGATGTCAGTAAGAAGGCAATGTTCTGTTTATGACTTCATCTTCTCTTACCTCTCTATTTGAAATAGGATCTCCAGTCATTCATTACAGAATCAAAGACCTCAAATTACTCTACAAGTTTTAAGCTCCATCTCATTTGATGAAAAATCATGCTGAAATAAAATAATAAGCTCCTCAAGAGCAGATCTTCTCTCTACTACTGTAACCCCTTTATGGGGGTGGGTAGCCCTCATGTTGACTATCTACAGTGGCTGGTGACTTTGAACACCACTAGATCCTAGTGACGTCTCAGTACCCCTGTGGTTATTAGCTCAGCAAATCTAGACAACTTCATGAATGGGTAGCAGCGTGGGCCTGGCTGAGCCTAAATTTAAACTGGGAAGATGAGGCTGTGATTCACAGGCATGGATCTGCCTAAATTGTATCCACATAGACTTTTTATTTATTTATTTATTTGGATGATGGAGAAGACTTTAGTTTTTTGGCTGAAGTTTGTTCATGGGTACCTCGGGGAGACAGGGGAGAGTTGAAAAAATGGAGGGGATGGTATGGCTCCCCCATATTAACTGTCCTCTCATAAGGTGATAAGGCAGGTAGAGGGGTAACAGGCATAATCCAAGGAAACCCTTTACTTGTGTGCCAAGAAGTTACAGCTCAGGGCCCAGGTGACAGGTGGGACACAGAATTAGGGAGAGGAGTGTTCCCTTTCTCTTTCTATATGGAACCCACAAAAGCTCCAGCAGTTTAGTGGAGCCTGAAGAGAACAGGGAGAGGTAGCAATTGACCCAATGGGTGCAAACTTCTTCCTCAGCACACATGAGACAAAGATCCCTTTGAGGCTACCAGAAGGTGAGAGAGTTTGACTGCACAAGTCTAGCAGTTTAACAGTGAGGAAGCCATAAGACTAGGAAAATTCAGGGATCAACATCATCATGACCTTTTTTGTATGCACAGACTGGTGAGGACAGTGGACAATGCACTCAGAGAAGTCCCAATAGCAAAGTGCCACACCAGAATTATTAAGTCCATCTCCTTTCAGTCTCTAATTTGGTCCTGAAAAATACATGTCCCTCTTGACCTGTTTAGCCTAAAAATTAAAGGCCAGAGGTCTCAGGTATCACTACTACATGGTCTTAGTTGAAGACAAGGAATGTAACTCGATTCTCAATTTAAAGAAACCAAAGGTAGAATGTTCTCTCTGATATGTGAATGGTAACAAGGGAGGATTGGGAGGGGAAGTGTAGAAGTTCATTGGATTAGACAAAGGGGAATGGAAGGAAGGGAGGAGGGATGGAAATAGGGGGGAATGAAGCAGTTATAACTTTCCTACGCTCATATATGAATTCACGTCCAAGGACGTTCTTAAGCATCCATTGGTTCATATCACCTTTGTGGATTTAATCACTGCAGTTCCCTGAGGAGGTGTGGGTTTCAGAGATAGGTAAACAATGACATATTTTGATATTTTTAGTGCTCTATGGGTGCACCTACCAGAAAGCACAATGACCAGAAATTAGTGGTAGATCTGCTGATTAAATATGTTCTGATTAAATAAACTGTTCTGTGCAGAGTGTTCCAGGATAATGTGGTATAACATAAAATGATAATCGTTTCACTTTCTGAAGTTCTCATTGGGAGCTACATCTGAAGAAAGATCAAGAGAAGGATAGCAATGCTTCAACGCTTTCAGTTGGCTGGGTTTATCAGACCTAAATGTATAATGACATGGTCCCACAGAATGCGTATTTTAAATGCGGTGAATCTAAATATCAAACCCAAGAGAATTGAAGAAGTCATCAATAGTTATTTGTTCAATAAATGAGTGTAGCAAGATTGATAAAATAAGAGTTTCACAGCTTAGTCTTTTTCTCTTCTAGACAGTTTACTTCCCTCAATTTTTCCCTGTTTCTCTTCCTGATTCCTTTCAACTCTCACACACCATGTAGAAAGGGGAGAGGAGAGGAGGATCAATATTGGCTGAAAATGTCCTGTCTGTAGTTATCATGCCTTTGGCTGTTGCCTTTTTCAGTCTTTATCTTACTTAATCCTCAGAAGTTTAGAAAGTAGGTATTTTTATGCAGGTGATTTTTATTCATCTGCCCATAATCACACGGCTAGAAGCTGGCAGAGGTGGAGTTTAAATTCAGCACCACATATGAGATTCCATGCTTTTCTGCCCCCTTTTTATATCACTCTCCATCTGTGCAATGTTTTCTCTTCCCTTTAACTCTTTTTCCCCATTTCTGTACTGTAAGAGGCCTTTCCAAGAGATGAAAAGGTGACTGCCTCTCGTTTTCCTGTATTCTTTGAGGGCCTCTGGTCCCAGCCTGAAAATACAATTTTTGTTGATCTGAAATGGAGATTGAAGCATCAGTTTTAAAAATGGCTTCTATCTTGGAAATGCTCTTATTCCTTAAAAATTTCTGTCTTCAGGGCTGGGGATATAGCTCAGTAAGCAGGGTGCTTGTCTCGCATGCACAAGGCCCTGGGTTCAATTCCCAGCACTACAAAATAATAATAATAATAATAATAATAATAATAATAATAATAATAATAAT